TCTCACCTCTGAGTCAGAAGGTTATGGGTTTAAGCCCCGTGTCAGGACTTTGAACTCACAGTTTAGGAGTGTTTCACAGTCTTGAAGCACTTCACAGAATTTTGGGTTTTATAATGGATGGGGCACCAAATGCCTTTGTTGGCAATCTACTGCTGGTTTTCACCAGTCAGTGGGGAGAACCGTAATCCTTGAACTGAATAGGAAACAGGGTAAGAGTGAGGGAGATAGACGCACACACACACACATACAGCGAGGCACAGAAAGAGTTAAATACGATTATATCAAAGAGAGAGGGAGGGGGAGAGACAGTGAGAGACAGGGCCAGAGACAGAGAAAACCCTTTTATATTCAATATGTTTGTTAAACCAGCCTCTCCCCCCCCCCCCCCCCCCCACCCACCACCACCAATAAAAAAAGCCATGGTATTGTTTCAATGAAAGGCAACACAGAGCCTGAGAACAGAGGCACTCAGAAAGAGGAAGGCTGACAAATGGAAACCGTGCTAAAGATATGGCCCCCAAAAACTCCCAGCTCCATCCTCACTCCCTCTCTCCCTCTCTCCCTCTCTCTGGGGTTCCATCCTTTTGTCATTGTCTCAATCGGCTCTTTTTTGTGCCATTTGCTAAGAGGTGAAAAGACTTTTGGGGAAAGCGAGTTAATTGCATTCACAGCTTCCCCTTTTTTACTCTATAAAAGGGCCGTCGCCTGAGTAACATGGATTCAAAGGGGAGATTTCAGAGGCTGATGCATTGTGACAGAGTGGAAATCAACACTGACACATGGATTGTGCTCGAACTATCAGCAAACGTTTTTTTTATTACCGACTCAGTGTAGCGTCATGTCCAGCCAGCCCGATGCAGGAAGGAAACCTGAGAGAAAAATCATTAAAATACTCTACTGTAGAGGGATTCTTTTTATTTAAAAAAAATACTTTTCATTAACTAATTTTGAAAAAACTTGTTTCAATCCCGCATTTTTTTTTAAAAAAAAAAGGTCAGGTTTGGTTTAGTTAATGATCATTTGTAAATCATTCACATTGTTCCCTCATCGCCCCACTTAACTTAGTATTAATAATAATAATCCTTGCAACTATTCTACCACGTCTTCGGGTTGTCTCAAAGCGTTTCACAGGATACACTGTAGAGTGAATTAACTGTATATTTTGTGGGCAAAATATAACTTTAAAATATCCCAGATCGGATTAAGGGCAATTCATCCCCTTTAACTGACTGACTATCCATATATTTTCCCTCTACGTTTATAAAGGAGGGGGGAGGTTTGTAACGTGCAAAAACTTGCGTCTGTGTTCTTTTATATATCATTTTCTGAACTCTCAAGCCAACTGGATCTTTTCCTGTGGGAAGGAAAGTTTGTGGATTCCACACAGTGACACAAAAGCTTGCTTGTCTCGCTGGTGTGTGGTGTGAAGCTTTGGTTTTAGTCAGAATGCAATGTTTAGAAACCAACTCCAGGTTTGTTCCACGTAAAACCCACAACATCCTGTGTGTATGTATAATCTGTGTGTGTGTGTGTATATATATATATACACACACATATACATATACATAATAATAATAATAATAATAATCCTTGCATTTGATATAGCGCTTTTCACGTCGGGAGGACGTCCCAAAGCGCTTCACAGAATAGACTGTAAAGTGAATTGACTGTATATTTGTGGGCGAACGCGGCAGCCAATTGCGCACAGCAATGTCCCACAAACAGTCGTAGATTGAAAATGACCAATTTATTATTGTTTTGGGTTTTGGAGGGATTATTATTAGGCTCTGTGTGGAGTAAGGAAACTTGCCCAAGGTTTCGCCCTCTGCCTGGAATTGAACTCAGGTCTCTCACTTGCAAAGCGAGTGCTCTAACCACTGAGCTACAGGACTCCATGTGTGTCCTGGGGATGTGTTTGTGTTTTGCTAAAGGGAAGTTCAACATTCTGGGTCCAAAATATGCACTTTTTCTTTCAAAATAAAAAGTAGCACTGCCCTAAAACCGTCAACCGTCAAGTTGTAAAGGCGAGTCTGTTCTCCCCGGCCAGTCTCTGCCATCTATCCGGTTGTTTTCTCTTCGACCGAGCCTTCAGCTCCCCTCTCGACTCTCTACCCCCTCCTCGCTCTCTCCCTTCCCTCCCCTCCCCCTGACCATCTCCCCCCTCCTCCCTCCTTCCCCTCCCCCTGACCATCTCCCCCCTCCTCCCTCCTTCCCCTCCCCCTGACCATCTCCCCCCTCCTCTCTCCCTCCCCTCCCCTGACCATCTCCCCCCTCCTCGCTCCCTCCCCTCCCCCTGACCATCTCCCCCCTCCTCGCTCCCTCCCCTCCCCCTGACCATTCCCCGCCTCCTCGCTCCCTCTCTCCCCTCCCCGACCATCTCCCCCCTCCTCCCTCTCTCCCCGACCATCTCCCCCCTCCTCCCTCCCCTCCCCCTGACCATCTCCCCCCTCCTCCCTCCCTCCCCTCCCCCTGACCATCTCCCCCCTCCTCCCTCCCTCCCTCCCCTCCCCCTGACCATCTTCCCCTCCCTCCCTCCCTCCCTCCCTCCCCTCACCCTGACCATCTCCCCCTCCTCCCTCCCTCCCCTCACCCTGACCATCTCCCCCCTCCTCGCTCCCTCCCTCCTCTCTCACTGACCACTGCTCGGGTCCCGACCCAACTGCCCAGTGCCTCGGGACGTCCTCCCGACGTGAAAGGCGCTCTATACATGGAATCTTGTTGTCGTTGTTAGTGCATTGATGGGTTGTTTTTCGGGCGTTATAATTCCTGCAAAAAAACCAATAATAATTTGACCACACGACCCCCGGGGCTCTGTGGGGACGTCTCCGCCGCCTTTCGCCCACAAAACACACGGTCACCACACATTACAGCGTATCCCGTGAAGCGCTTTGTGGCGTCTCGAAGGCGCTGTATGAGGATTGTTGTTGTTGTTGTTGTTGTTATTGTTGTTGTGATCGAGGAGCGCCTTCGGGCGCTGTTGTGGGTGCGACCAGACCCACCCCTCCCCCCCCCCGGGAGTGTCAGTGATTGACAGCAGCGCGAACCAATCAGCAGCGCCGGTGGGATGATCCCGCGGCCGCTGCCGCTGTACGAGCCAATGAGGAGCGGAGAGGCGGAGGGGGGGCGGGACCAGCGGGACAGGACTTGGTGGGTTCAGGCGATTTGTGGTCTCAGTTACAGCTGAGAGAGGGGCAGAGGGGCAGAGGCTCGGACCAGACCCCCCCCACCCCACCCCACCCGACCCGACCAGACCCCACAGACCCCACAGACCAGACACAGACACAGACACAGCGCAGCTCAGGGGCTTCTGTGCACAGTGTATAATAACAGTCACCGGGAGGTACAGACCGACCATCGCCTTCAGCAAAGCGAAGCCACGATCCATCATCTCCCAACTTCCCAACAAAGGACAGACACAGAGACAGAGACAGAGAGACAGAGACAGAGACACAGACACAGACACAGAGACAGAGACAGAGACAGAGAGACAGAGACACAGACACAGAGACAGAGATACAGACAGAGACAGAGAGACACAGACCGACAGAGAGAGACAGACATACAGACAGAGACACAGAGACTGAGACACAGAGATACAGACACAGACAGAGACCGACACAGAGAGACAGAGACAGAGAGACACATTGACACAGAGACAGAGGAGGAATCAGATCCACAGCTTTTTTTTTGCACCACCAGAAGATTCTCTTCTTTTTTAAAATCTCTTTCATTCTCTTTTTTTTAAAAACTCAGTCGAAGACCCTCACATCCCCTCACCCCCCCTACCCTCACCCCCACCCCCTCACCCCCTCACCCCCTCACCCCTACCCTCACCCCCTCCCCCCCTCACCCCCCCCCCCCCCCTCACCCCCCCCCCCCCCTACCCTCACCCCCACCCCCTCACCCCCTCACCCCCTCACCCCTACCCTCACCCCCTCCCCCCCTCACCCCCCCCCCTACCCTCACCCCCCCCCCACCCCCTCACCCCCCCCACCCCCTCACCCCTACCCTCACCCCCCCCCCCCACCCCCTCACCCCCCACCCGGATCCCCGGACCTGGAGAGGTGTTGTGTTATGTTCGTTGGCGTTCAGCAACAATCCGGTAACAAGTGCTGTGTTTATCGGCACTGCCGCAAAGGCTGCGACTGACGGGGATTTCTGCAAAAGATTGGTTCCCGGAAAGGATCGGATCGGATCGGCTGAAGCGGAGGAGAGAGGAGAGGAGGAGAGGAGAGAAGAGAGGAGAGGAGGAGAGGAGAGGAGAAGAGAGGAGGAGAGGAGAGGAGAGAGGAGGAGAGGAGAGAGGAGGAGAGGAGAGGAGAGAGGAGGAGAGGAGAGAGGAGGAGAGGAGAGAGGAGGAGAGGAGAGAGGAGGAGAGGAGAGGAGAGAGGAGGAGAAGAGAGAGGAGAGGAGGAGAGGAGAGAAGAGGAGGAGAAGAGGAGAGGAGAGAAGAGGAGGAGAAGAGGAGAGAGGAGGAGAAGAGGAGAGGAGAGGAGGAGAGAAGAGGAGAAGAGGAGAGAGGAGGAGAGGAGGAGGAGAACCACCAGCGAACCCTTTAAAGAGCCACAGACCCCGAGAGCCGCTTCAGTGGCTTCACTGCTCTGATCCCCTTCTCTGCAAACATCGTCGACCCCTTAACCGCTCGTGTCGGGGAATCGTGTGGAGGGGAACATGGTGGTGATCACAGGGGTCCCAACGCAACGCGTCCGAATGTGAAAAGGACTCGGGGGGGAATAGAAGAGTCTTCCGTCTGTGTCTCTCTGTGTGTTGTGTGTGTCTGTGTTGTGTGTGTCTGTGTTGTGTGTGTCTGTCTGTGTGTGTGTGTCTGTGTGTGTGTGTCTGTGTCCGTGTGTGTGTGTGTCTGTGTTGTGTGTGTCTGTGTGGTCTGTGTTGTGTCTGTGTGTGTGTGTCTGTCTGTCTGTGTGTGTGTCTGTCTATCTGTGTGTGTGTCTGTCTGTCTGTGTGTGTGTCTGTGTGTGTGTGTGTGTCTGTCTGTCTGTCTGTGTGTCTGTGTGTGTGTGTGTGTGTGTGTGTCTGTGTTGTGATTTGGGCAAGAAAAATGAAGCCATTTACGTGCCTGTTCCCGTTTGCTCTCCTCTCCCACTTTGCTCTGGGCATCGGCTCCATCGACCACCACGAGCGAGGCAGGGAAGCCAAGTGCGAGCCCATCGAGATCCCCATGTGCCTGGGGATCGGCTATAACCTGACCAGGATGCCCAACTACATGGGCCACGAGAACCAGCGAGAAGCAGCCATCAAACTGCACGAATTCGCTCCCTTGGTGGAATATGGCTGTCACGTCCACCTCAGGCTATTCCTCTGCTCACTCTATGCCCCCATGTGCACCGACCAGGTCTCTACCTCCATCCCAGCCTGCAGGCCCATGTGTGAGCAAGCCAGGCAGCTTTGTGCCCCTATCATGGCGCAGTTCAACTTCGGATGGCCCGAGTCCCTGGACTGCAGCAAACTGCCCACACGGAACGACCCCAACGCTCTGTGCATGGAAGCCCCTCAAGAGAACGTTACCGTGGAGTCACAGAAGGGGCAGGGGATGCTCCCAGTGGCTCCCAGACCCCGGCCGCCCGGAGCAGGGGACGGGAGGAACCAAGGCACCCTGGGATCATGTCCCAATCCCGATAAATTCCAGTACGTGGAGAAAAGCCTGACCTGCGCCCCCAAGTGCGCGGCTGGAGTGGACGTCTACTGGTCCAAGGAGGACAAGGAGTTTGCTTTCATCTGGATGGCCGTGTGGTCCACCCTGTGTTTTATCTCCACCGCCTTCACCGTCTTGACCTTCCTATTGGACCCTCATCGTTTCCAATACCCAGAGAGACCCATCATCTTCCTCTCCATGTGCTACAATGTCTACTCGGTGGCCTTCATCATTAGGTCTGTGGCCGGGGCGGAGAACATCGCCTGTGACCGGGAGAACGGGGAGCTGTACGTCATCCAGGAGGGCCTGGAGAGCACAGGTTGCACCATAGTCTTTCTCATCCTCTATTACTTTGGGATGGCCAGCTCCCTGTGGTGGGTCATCCTCACCCTGACATGGTTCCTGGCAGCCGGGAAGAAATGGGGGCATGAAGCCATCGAAGCTCACAGCAGTTACTTCCACATGGCGGCCTGGGGGGTGCCGGCCATGAAGACAATCATCATCCTCACCATGAGGAAGGTTGCGGGGGACGAACTGACCGGCCTGTGTTATGTGGGCAGTATGGACGTCAGTGCCCTGACTGGCTTTGTCCTGATCCCACTCTCCTGCTACCTGGTGATCGGCACCTCCTTCATCCTCACCGGCTTTGTGGCTCTCTTCCACATCAGGAGGATCATGAAGACGGGCGGCACCAACACGGAGAAGCTGGAGAAGCTCATGGTGAAGATCGGGGTCTTCTCTATCCTCTACACCGTCCCCGCCACCTGCGTCATCGTCTGCTACTTCTATGAGCGTTTGAACATGAATGTTTGGAAGCTCCTGGCCGCAGAGAGACCCTGCGAGAGCTTCTCCGGGAGGAGGACACTGGACTGCACCCTGGACAGCTCAGTGCCCACCGTGGCCGTCTTCATGCTGAAGATCTTCATGTCTCTGGTGGTTGGCATCACCAGTGGTATCTGGGTCTGGAGCTCCAAGACCCTGCAGACCTGGCAGAGCCTGTGCAGCAGGAAGCTGGCCGTCAGGACACGAGGGAAGCCCTGCAGTGGGGTCAACTGCTCGGCCAGTCACTGCCACTACAAAGCTCCCACTGTCATGGTCCACATGGGCAAGACAGACCCTTACCTTGACAACCCGGCCCATGTATAGCCAGCCCAGCCCACAGGTAAAACACCCGTCACAAACAGCTCCAGCCGGGCACACAGCCAGCCATCAGAGGAGTCCGTCACAGCTCCCAGAGGTTTAATGCCCCCCCATTAATAACTTGACTCTTGATGCACAGGTGTGCGTGTGCGTGGGGGGGGGGGGGGGGGTTGTACAATTCTGTCACAGTTAGAAACAGTTTAGAGATCATTCTTCCTCTGTAAGGGCAGGTGTAGCGCAGATCAGAAAGCGATTTTAGTGTCTTCTTGTGAACTCGGCTTCAGATCAGCTTCAAAACGCTCTTCGTAGAATCCATCTGAATCCCTTTTGAAAACTTATCATCGAATCTGCTTCCACCTCCCTTTCCCTTTCAGACAGACGGTGCAGTCCAAACGGTAACAACTCTCCGGGTTAAAAAAAAATATTCTCGTCTCCCCTCCGGTACTTGTACCAATTGTCTTAAATCTGTGTCCTCTAGTTACTGACCCACCCGCCAGAGGAGACGGTTTCTCCCTTTCTCCCCACCTGCGCTTGTCGGCCAGTCGTTTCTGGTAGCTGGGAAGGGAAGTGCGGGGCTGATGTTCAGCGCTACAGAGGGGAAGACAAACTTCTGCACCCTCAGTCTGTGCTGCCGTTCGCAATCCTTTCAATCTCGATTTCAAACAACCGGATGTAAAATATCAAAAGTGTTAAGACAGCAAATAACTTTTAAAGTCTATTCTACCTTTTTTTTTATTCAGTAAAATGTCCTCGGAACGCGCGCACAGCGAATTTCAAGCCGCCTTTTTTTTCCCCCCCCCAAAGATAATTATTAAAAATGCATTTCTCTCTTAATTAATTTATTGGGAGCGCTGTAGCTTAGTGATTAGAGCGCTCGCCTCGCAAGCAAGAGGACCTGGGTTTGATTCCTAGTCAGGGCGAAACGTTAGGCAAATTTCCTTACTCCACGCTCCTGTTTACCTCGGAGTTAGTAGGAAACCGGTTGTTAGTCGATTGGCAGATCGTTTTTCCTGGGGTTAATAATCCCTTAAAAAAAATGTGGTCACTCAATCCCTGACTGTCTGTGGGACGCTACTGTGCGCAGTCGGCTGCCGCGATTCACCCACCAAATATACATTCAATTCACTTTACAGTGTATCCTGTGAAGCGCTTTGAGACGTCTCGAAGACGTGATAAGGCGCCGTATCAAATGCAAGGATTAGTATTATAATTGCCTCCAGCAAAAAAAAAAGACCCTTAACGGTACCCCCAAGACGTGTGTTCTTTTTCCGGGGGTTGTTATTCGGATCCACTGGGCCTGGCGACACCCACTCATTCACTCACATAAAAGATCAAGTTTTCTCTCTCGGTTAACTTTTTCCGTATAAACATGCATTGAGTCCAAAGAAAACTTTTAATAACTCGTGTTTGCGTTTCAGCACAACAGAGCTTTGTACAATTCTGTCCTACAAAGTGTTGTTTTTTATATTAAAAAATATTTTTTTAACCCGTTCATTTACTGAAACAAATTCATTCAATGTCCTGTATCTTGGTGGTTAGACCGTTCGCCTCGCAAGCGAGAGGAAAAAATAATATTAATAATTTTGTCACTGAATCCACGCCTGTGGGACCCTGTTGTGCGCAATTGGCTGCCACGTTTCACCCACAAAATATAGTCAATTCACTTTACAGTATATTCTGTGAAGCGCTTTGAGATGTCTCGAAGATGTGGTAAGGCGCTGTATTAAATGCAAGGATTATTATTATTATTAAAGGATGGATTTCTCCTGCATTAAACAGGTGAAGAATTCGACCCTCAGTTCAAACTTTTTTTTATATTGCCAAAACGATTAAAGACTTAACAACTGTACATTAATTATTTCCAAATTCAAATGTGTTTAACAGCAAAGATCTGAACGATACTTAATAAAGTCCAATACAATATTGTTGTATAATATAACGTGTGACTACTAAAGGTTTGGATTCTCTGCATCCTTTTAATTTGAAAGTGTTTTGAGAAAGCTACACTTGCGACACACCGACTGGTGTTGGTGTGTGTGTTAGACACTGCCCTCTGCAAACCCAACCCAAACTCCAGTCATCGCACATCGATGCGGGGTGAAATGTAAATTTTCTCCCAGGGGCAGTAGGGTGCGCTCTCCTGAGTTTGGAGTTGATGAGCTTTAAGGTCAGAGTACAGAGCTGGATGGACAGTGTAGAGGGAGCTTTACAAATGCAATTTGTTGTTGTTGTTGTTGGCTCACGCGATATGCCACGTTATACCACGCGATAACAGACTCCGCTCCACTGGGGTCATCACTCGTAACACAAAGTAGAGGATTAATCAGGACTATTAATTAATCTGTGCTCTAATCCCTCCCCAAGTATCCGAGTGTGCAATATACTTCCCTTTGAAGGAAGTACGGTCCTTTGCGTTTGTCTTGTTGCTCTGACCCTCTCTGTATGTATCTCATTGGGTCTTAGGTGTATTTCTTTTTGGAGACTGTTAGTCAAGTTAATTTGCTTCATATATATATGTGTTGTCACGGGGTTGGGTAGGGGAAGGGGAAGGGAAGAAGGGGTTGACTTCTGACCACGTACTGAAGGGGAATGTGAGGAGGTGATGGGGGGGTGATGGGGGGAGGTCGGAATGGGTTTCGCGGGCAGACTGGACCTCCCCCTCGCCCCCAACCTTGCCGGCCTCACTGTCAATCATGCACACACCACACCGTGCCTTTAAATCCTCCACGTATAAAGCCTCCCATTTTTAGTTTTTAAAGAGGCACTTCCTTTTAAATACAAAGCGCACAATCGAGTGCGTATAACTTTTTCCTTAACCCTTCGAGTGCCTTTGCACGTAACGTGGATTCTGTGTGAGAGATCTGTGCTGAGCCAGAGAGCCACAGACTTGGTGAATTATAATGGCCTCCTAACCTTCCGAGCACAAGGGCTGCTGAGACCAATTGTAGCCCCAACCGTTGCTCTGCCTGAGATCTGTTAAGATCACAGATCAAACCAGTGACCTCCTGGCCCGTACACTGGGCAGTCAACTAACCCATGAAACTGCTCATCAACAAAGGGTGATAATGGTTCTCTTGAGAGTTCCTTTGGGTCTGTGAGCATTCAGGATGGACTATCCATGGGCCTCGTGTTCCCCTTCACCCATCGTTGCTCTGCCTGTGACAGTGAGTTACCATGTCTGTAATCCCTTCTCTTCTTCCACTCAATGATTGTAGATTATTAATTTATGGTAAGCCAAAATGATAGATTATCAATTTTTTTTGTATATGTTTACGATAGTTCAAATGCAAATATATATTTTTGTTTTTTTTTGTAACCTTGTGTCTGACTTTTATTTCCGCACCACACTCTCCGCGCACGACCAGCGAGGAAGGTGCTGGATGTGTTGCGTCCCAACAACAAACACAAAAAAAAATGGTTACTCAATCCACAGCTGTTTGTGGGACCACTGCTGTGCGCAACTGGCTGTTACGTTTCGCCCACAAAATATCTTTACAGTTTATCCTGTGAAGCGCTTTATTATTATTCACCAGGGCTATCAAAGAGATATTTTCCCCCCAGGTTTTGAATTTATTTTCCCTCCAATGCATTGCATGGGTGCAATGAACATCAACCGCCATAGATTTCGAACAGGAACTGGGGTGAAAGTCGCTTCTCTTTTCAATGTATTCTGTGAAGCGCTTTGAAACGTCAAAATACGTGATAAGGCATTATATCAAATGCAAGGATTATTATTATTATAGTAAGCAACCACCTAACAGCAGAACCGCCCCACCCCACCCCAACCCCAGGCGCTTCTTGGTGAGGTGTGTGGGCGTGGGGAGGTAAGAGGTCATTTTTGTTGGCAAAATAAAAAAAGGAAACTGTACAAAGAGCTTTGATTAAAGAGATCATTATAGATGAGGTTTCTCTCTCGCTCTCTTTGAGGCGAACTCATTATGATCCAGCCCCGGGCATCAAGTGTCGCCTTTTTTAATGTGTAAATTGGAGCAGCTTCGAGTACCATTGAGAACTGACAGGCAGAAACTGCCGAGTCCCAGCGCCTGCCCTAATCAGCTTAGATATTAACGTGAAGCATAGCAGAGATGTCACACAGCGGGTCTGTCCCCAAAATCCATCCCAGTTGTGGGAGACAAAACTGCTTTCCTGCCTGTTTCTCCTTTGTGAGGCCACGATGGTTATGCTAAGTTTGTGTGTGGGTGGGGTGGGGGGGGGTTGTGCAGAGTAAAGTTGACAGAATGAGGGATCTTTGTGAAGCTCTTGACAATATCTTTAAGTTTTGCCTGATGCTGCTTTGAAACAACCAATTAAAGCCACAGATAGTTTCAAGTGCTGCTTTAATCCCCTGTAGCTGTGCTGATGTCTGATCTCTCTCCCATTCTCCTCTTGTCCTGACTTGCCCAGCGTCTTAACAGAAGAGGTTTTAACTTGAAGGTTTCTTTTTGGTGTGGTGATTTTTGTGCTCATCAGAACGATCGTGCTGGGAACAAAACGCTTTCCCCTTCGGGACATCCCATGTCACCATCCATCTAGCATTCCCTGTTCAGCTCCAGCACGGGTTAGAAGCAGAGTAAAGTTCCCTCTACACTGCGTCCACACGCCCAGGTCAGCGACAACATGGGTTAGATAAAGAGTACATGTATGGGCCATTCCCTGTAGTGCACACAAAGCCTGGTATTCCCTGTACTTTTCCCATGATAGCACAGTGTGTGTATGTGTGACTGAATGGCTTCAGGATAAACAGCCATCACTGTGTGTGCGTGAGTGTGTGAGACTGACTGACCCCAGTGATAGACAGCCCTGTCACTGTGTGTGCGTGTGTGTGTGAGACTTAACTCCAGGGCAGGACAGGGATGTCACTGACAGAACCAAAGTCTGGTTCAGGGTGAGTTTGAGTAAGTGGAGGCTCGAGGGAGGATTTAGTGCAATGTGGAGAGTGCAGAGAACTGAAGCCACTGTTTACCCAAAAGTGGTGCCGGCTTCAATAACACCTTTAATAAAGCACCTTGTGTCGCTGACTAGCACATACACACAGTTCTCTTTATGCTTTATCCCTGCCCTGAAACAGCCATCTTGTAACATGAAGTATAATAATCCTTGCATTTAATATCATGCCTCTAACATCAGACCACTTCACAGGGAATCACTGTCATGCGTAGT